GTCTTTACTCTATGTGTATTGGTCACGATGCTGATGTACCGAGACACGTGCTCACATCGGCCCGGCGTAGAAGGGGGATTTTCGATGGAAAAATCGGAAACCGTATCGAATTGGCCAGGGGTGCATTGCTCTATAGTTGGAGGTACTTTTGGTTTGCCCCTGGATGGGCGAGACGAAGAAGTGGTGCCCTCTTTCTGAGGTACCGTTCTAGAGGTTCTAGCCATAACTATAAAGAAGGTTTCTAAGTAAGCGGATCAAGAGGCAAGAACAGAAGGGAGATGAAGGCAGAAGATGGTGAACTTAGCTCTGGAAACTTGAAAATATTGTAAAAGTGAGAATGACAAACGGTTGAGGTATTTATAGAAGCCATTTGGGCAACGTGTGAGAAGCGGAAGAGTCGAACCAATAGTGGTTCGTGGGCTTCTTGATAGTCGTGTTTCCAGTGACCCCTGCGCAGTTTTAAGTCATGGCATTTAATGCTTTGGCGGGCTGACGTCATGATGATAGTATCAAAGAAGCAATAATTCAAGACTGTTTCTTATCGTTTTCATTTTATGAAATGCAGGGACTATCTGTATACAGTGAAAATTAGAGAGTCCGATTTTAAGGTCATTATGGCACTTAATAAGCCCGTCTCCAAAGGGCTCGAGGCGCAGCTCGAGGTTCGACCTTGAGGGTTCTCAATGTTCAACCTCGGGGCAGTACAAATTGGTGGCTATGATGAACTAACGAGAAATTCCCAAGGCATGTGGTTAAAGCTGACCAGGTCTCTTAGGCTAGTACGAGCCCGTACCGTGGTATTAAATGGTTGTAGCAGCCGCGTATCTTTGTAATAAATACATCTGTACTATGTTGGGTTTCCCCCTCATGTATAAAGGGGATTCTTGTCAATTTGTAAAAGACATGATATTGAATATAAGAACAAGAACATTCTCTGCTCTCTAACTTAAACACATTCTCCCTTGATTTTATTGCTCACATTTATTACATCGCTTGCATGTATTGTGCTTCATTGATTGTTCTTCATTTATTACTCATCATTGATCATAAAGAGCCCTCATTGAAGCTATTAGATCTGTTAGTCCTTCGTCGGCTGTCACAGCCCAACGCTTAGCTTGACCCCGAGGCCCCGTATAGTCTAGCTCAAGGCCCCGATTCTCAGTCATTCGATTTGCTTGTCACACTACCTTCAAGCTCTTATCTTATTTTCTAGTCTCACACTTAGCATCTGCTTCCTAACAACTAGCATAAAAGTAAATCATGTATTTTTAGAACCCAAAATCAAATCTAATTGTAATTACCCTTTTCAAGGTAAACATGTATATAAGAGCCAATGCATGAGTCTAAGATACCAATGCATCTTCATCCAATAGCAATGTATATAAGAGCCAATTCATTGATCCAATATCAACAAATCACATCACAAATCCATGTGCCTGACACAAGCCACGTCTCCAACAAGCACCAAAAGGATTACGGGTGCCTACGCTCACAGAGCCCAAGATAACATGGGTAGTTACTTGACTCCGGAAGGATGGATTCATATCCAAGCTTGATCATTTTATATTTTAATGATCATTAATCAACCATTGCAGTGCACAACTCATTCCAGTAACAATATCATCAATAATTGATAATCATTATCCGCTCACATTGTCCTTAATGCCAAATTTCTAAATATATCCATAATATCCAACTCTCTAACTCACGTGTATGTGTATAAAATAATATAATGGAAAACAGTACCGGACATGATATTAAGAATGCGGATAAATGGCTCTTATGGATAAAAGATGACTACGGCAAATTATGTAACTGAATTTGTCACAAAGGCTAAATAAGCTATTTAGCATGTTCTTGTTCAATAATATTATTTATCAACAATCAATTAGGCCATAGAAACTACCAAAATAATGGAGTGGTAAGACAAGTGTATGACTACATATTTATAATAAAGCTCAACATGGCGAAATAAATATTTATGTTAAATCAACAAGTCATAACCCAAGGCAGCTCCGAGATCATGAAGATAAATTATTACATAGTCATAGAATCAATTTGGACATGAATAATAACTTCTCATAATCCAGCAAAGCACAAATTTAAGTCAATAATACCGGATAGGGTCAAGACCTAGCTACACATATACACTCGTCACCTCGCATATACATGGCTCATAAATCATCAATCAAGTAACAAGTAAATAACCTGTGGGGAGAATTCCTTTTACAAGGATAGACAAGAGACTTACCTCCACTTGACAAGCTTTAACCAATAACAACCACATTTTTCCTTCAAATTCAATACCGAACGACTTGAATCTAGTCAAATACAACTCAATAACACCAAACAAAGTCGTAGAAAATAATTTCAAATAATAAAGCTTCAATATTTAATCAAATACCAAAAGTCAAATCGGGCTTACATGGTCAAAAACCGAGTCAAGTGGTAGATTCCTACTACCTATAGCCCCACGAGCCTAAAATGTGATTAGATTCCAAAACCTTGTCCAAATCAACCTTCAAATTCCCAAAATACAGCCTCTTAAGTTGTAGAAAAAATCTTAAATTTCCTTTAAAAATTCCAAGTTTTAGGTGTAGAAATTCATGGGGAACAAGATATAAAGCAAATCCAAGTGAAAATTGCTTACCTCCAA